TGTTCAAAACAAAGTCCAAACCTGTGACAGCTTAAGAGAGTGGCTTGTGGTTAATAAGAAGAAACCAAAATAACCAAACCCACTTGAGATCAACTTACTGCTCCAGAATATCTCAGAGGGACCCTTGTCAAATGCTCACAACTGCTTAAAAGTCAAAGGGGTAAGGAAGCCATCAATTTTCAGCTAAAAAACATTTTTTTTTTTTTAAATTAAGTTTATTTGAGAAGGACACATCACTACAGGAAACTAACTTTCAATGTAGTTTGTAAATTAATCAGTTAATGTCTCATCAATTATAAATGCACATGTTTATGCTTTTATGAACACAGTAGCTGCCTGTCAAAATAAAGCACAGGCACATCAGCCCTGAAACATGAACTCTGCCCCTCCTATCAGTAAGTTCAAAAATGCCAAACTCTCCATACCCCACAAAACCCAAATAAAAACACCAATCCAAAACATCAGCCATAAAAGTAACCCACCACTTTGTCTAGAAAAAAAATAAACTGCTTAAATTATTGAAATAAAGATGTTTACGATGGCACAGCAGCCTGTAAAAATTGAGAAATCTCAAGGAATTGATCACTTGTATTTTATTAGATCACAGGTCATACTATCCTAATTAGTTCAGAGGGACCCTTGTCAAATGCTCACAACTGCTTAAAAGTCAAAGGGGTAAGGAAGCCATCAATTTTCAGCTAAAAAACATTTTTTTTTTTTTAAATTAAGTTTATTTGAGAAGGACACATCACTACAGGAAACTAACTTTCAATGTAGTTTGTAAATTAATCAGTTAATGTCTCATCAATTATAAATGCACATGTTTATGCTTTTATGAACACAGTAGCTGCCTGTCAAAATAAAGCACAGGCACATCAGCCCTGAAACATGAACTCTGCCCCTCCTATCAGTAAGTTCAAAAATGCCAAACTCTCCATACCCCACAAAACCCAAATAAAAACACCAATCCAAAACATCAGCCATAAAAGTAACCCACCACTTTGTCTAGAAAAAAAATAAACTGCTTAAATTATTGAAATAAAGATGTTTACGATGGCACAGCAGCCTGTAAAAATTGAGAAATCTCAAGGAATTGATCACTTGTATTTTATTAGATCACAGGTCATACTATCCTAATTAGTTCAGGAAATGTAAGAATTTAATACACCCCTTGCTATCAGACCAAACCCAATTTTTAATGATGATGAAAACATGGATTCAGAGCACAATCCTGTAATCTTTTTCTCCATTGCAACCACACTCCTCCCTCTAGCTACCTACTGCAACAAGCTCACAGGAATGAAGCCCTCAGGCCACCAGTCAGTAATGGACTGCAGTGTTTACTGAGAACTAATACTGAAGTGCAGTTTTTCCACAAGCAAAATGGTAATTTTTATCTTGTTCCTTTTCAAGTATATTGAATTATATTATGCCACAAGCAGCAGTTAAGTTTACGCTAGCAAAACATTATCAGAAAGCCATTCTAATCAGTGCTTATTATGTCTTAAGTTGTTCAAAAACATAGAATAAAATTTCACAATGTAAACTGAACAGCTCTCCTCAAGAGGTCACTAAATTGATCAGAAGACCGAACAAGCTCTTGGCCTTTACTACCTAATGTAGTGGAAGAATTCAAGGGAGCAGTTTTAGCGCTCTGGGGAAAAAAAATACCTACATGCGTAAGAGGATTCCTCACTCCAGTTAATCATTCCGCCTCTGTATGTTCAGGAAAGTACATACAACATTACTGTATGACTAACTAAAAAGTGCCTTTGGAGAGGAACACCCAGATCTGGAAAAAGAGCCCTTCTTTCCATCATAAGGCTTACGAGAAGATTCAACTTTCCTGCTTCCCAGAACATTTTGTGCCTAATTATGTTAAAAAGGAAGCCTGATCAGGTATTTTGAAGCTTCTTGCTCCATATGCCACTCCTTTTTACATGTGGAAAAACCAGCCTATGTTCTCTCATGAAAGGCACAACCACTATCATTTTGTGGTTTTTCAGAAGCAAACAAGAAATTAGGGAATCTCTCTATTGGAGCCTAGCATTAAACAGTCTAGTATTAACCAGTAACTGAAACACAACAGTTAATGAACTATTAATTAGTTTTTGTATTTTTTTAGGAGGCCTAAAGTATTATTTTATGCCTGCAGGCAACAGTCCAATTCCTTAAAGGAGGTGATAGCACTCCTTTCCACTGAACAGTTATCAAAAGCAGCAAGTAGATAATTAATGTGCTATTTAGTATGTTTGCCCAACAGCCATCTTCCAATGATCCTACATTCTTGTTTTCTTTTCCTTTAGATTTCTACTGAAATATTTCTTGACAGTCCCTCAAATCACTCAAGTAGAAACAACATCTCCATGAAACTTGTATATAACCCTAAGATAATACTGCAGAAGAATTGAAAAAAACCAAAAAAACACACCCAAAAAACCCAGAAGCAACAGTCCATGTATAACTCCCATTTCATACAGAAGACTAAGCAGAAACTAACATAAAGCAAGTGGGAAAGGGGACAGAAAGTAGGAGGAAAAGGCTAATCTCACTGCTGGAGTGCTACATTTAAATTACAGTGGTTTCCTAAAAACCAATAGCTTGGCTAAACTAAAAATTCAGCCAGGAAGGATCACAGTTGTGTTTGACAGAGCTAAGACAATGGGCATGACTCTCTGCACTTCTGCAGCCTCTAAGGGCAAATGCCAGTTAGAGACCCTTGTGGTTACTGAAATAGTAATATCAAGCAAAAAAGGATCCACCTTCTTGATTTGGCTGTAGTAACAGTAGGACAGCAGCATAAATTTGGAAGTGTAGAATGACAGCTAACATATGAGCAAGACAATGAAGAAATATTCCAAGTATAAGCTTTTGTGCATCCTTTTAAAAAAATCTTAACCGATTTTAGTTTTACTGCCTTACTGTTTAAAAATAATTGCCAAGCTTTCCAGTGATTTATTCCTACCCCACTAAGATACAGGTTCTGCTTTGAAATACATAAATACGTGTATTTCAAAAAAACCCAAACAAATAACACCCCCCTCCCCCCATTTTAGACCAAGACCTGAGTTAGCTTTATTCTTAAAGCCAATTGTATCTCCAACACTAGAAGGGCCTGAGGCTGCAGCGCTTTTACAGTGAGAGAGAGAACTTGTGAAGAGAGATGCAAAGCTTTCACCCTCCCTATGGCTACCCACAACCCACATCAGGTACAGTCAGAGCAAACAAGAGCCGAATGTTTTCACTTTGTCTTTCATTTACTTTGCTTAGTTCTAACTAACACTAAGCCTTCCCCCCCGCTCCAGGGTTCTTCTTTTTTGAGACATCTCTGTTAGCTCATGGGAAGATTCTACTTAGAAATGTAATACAGACATGCCAGGGAACACACAAGGCTAAAAGAATGTTAACTTTATTTATGAACATGTGATTTGTGTTTATACACATGCTAGTAAACAAAAATAAAAATAACTGTTTTCAAGAAATAAAAACCCATCTGAATTAGATAAAATACTATAAAACGTGGTTTACACAAACGCATTACATTAGCTACTAGGGTCACTGGGACAGTTTAACTAACTCAAACTCACGATGAGAGGCATTCATGTCCAAAAAAGAATTCAAACAAATCCGTGATAGAATTATGGATGTCAGATTGAGACTTAGTGGTTTTTGACCTACATACAAAAAGTTTTCAATTTTTAAGGTGATTGAATACCATTCCACGAGAATCAGAGGTTGTATTCTTCACAGAACACAGACCCAGGGTTCATGAATTTCTAGATTAAGTTATCCTATCAGCTTATCAAGTGATCAGATCCAATGATCCAGGGTTAGTGTAATGCCTCACACCATTCTAGCGAAGAAAAAGCAGTTATACTTAAAATAAAGATGAAAAATAAAAAAACACCAAATAGTAATTTGTATACTGTAAGGACTATTTTGAAATGCGGAGTTACACACAGTATTCAACCCAAGTGGGAAATCAAGGTCTGAAGAAAAATGCTGCCTCTTTTCCAAATGTAAATTCAAAGCGGTGGTATACTAAAGAAAGGCTTACTTAACCTTTTGGAAATTAAAGCAGCATCCAACCCTGAAGTAACCCAGATACAAAAATGTAATGCAGCTCGAAGTTAAGAAAAATGACAGGGATTTTACCCACAAATGCACCAGGCTCTTCTAACCTTGTGCCAAAATTTGTACACTGGGTTTTAGGTATTTTAATTTGCAGTCAAACTATTAAACTAAACTGCTTCATCAGATAAAGTGGAAAGATCAAATGCAGAACTTTAGAATACCACTTTGTGTAGCAATGATATTTAAATTCACGGCAATCTAAAGACATTTATGTACTCAGAGGGGCCCAAACAATATCACTTCAATTATATAGTTTTAGAAACACATACCCAAGTATTTAAGGACATGAAAAGGAATCATTTAGCTGCACAGAACTGTCCTCAAAACATGTGGGTTATGTTGGTTTTGGTATTTGTTTGAACCCCCAATTCAAAAGTAAGAAACAGTACCAAGTTTAACAATAATGGTTTCTCAGTGGTTTTTGATAACATTTTCAAAAACCATTAGGCAAAAAAAGTATTTAAAAAACAAAAGCTAAGTGATACAATGTGAAAATGGCAAAAAATACACTCCAAACAATTTTTATTGCAAGAAACAAAAAGCACACAACAACCTATACAAACATACATATTACTAGCTATAGACAGACAGATGTAGAACATGGGACCATGTTCAATTGTGCAAACCTTGAACCTACATGATCTAAAAACGATCGTACATTATCTGTACAACACAAAGTCATACAGGAAATATTCTAGTATATTCAATATGAAGTACAATGCATTACTAGGCACAAATACCAATATTCACATTAGAACTGTGCAAATGATGGCATTACTCAGTTTTTACTATGCTGAATCAAATACATTGTCTTTACAACATATACTATGTTTACTGGAAAATATATTAAGTTATTGTTTGGAAAATTAAAAAAGGCTACATGGTTTAGAATTAAGTGCAGTGTGTAGAAAAAAGTGTGAGATTGTGTTTTTACATACTGCTTTTGATGTTCCACTCACTGGCTCAGTTCGACTTCTAGAAGAAGAAATAAAGGTGATCAGAATTTACAATAAAGCACTTGTACCCAACATAAAGCAGTGAAAACAGATCATAAAATCTGAACATCAAAACATTATGATCTGATACTCTAGTGCATGTGGAAAATTATTCGTATACATAAACTGTTCTCTCTTGGTACATTCAGTGCAACTAAAAAAGACCCCCAAAAATCATATTTCTGCTTGGTCACAAATTACACTAAGACTTACAGATACACAACACAACAATACAAGAGGAAATCCTCAGATATTTTGTCTCTATGTAAGTATCAGAAATATGAGGTCTGTACTACAGTTTTGTGTTCTTAAATAATCAACCATGTAAATATGAAGGCAGCTCTAGCCAATCTGTATATCCCTAGTATTACAAATAGGTACCAGACACAGTACTTTAATTTCTAAGAAAGAACAGTGATAGTCTAGATGAAGTGCAAGTTTACTTAGGTGAAAAAAAATCAGTCATCTGACAAAGTAATAACATTAAAATGTCAGCAGCAGTCTTTAGAACAGTGTTTCTTTGTGGAAGCCCAAGCACTGTGTTCAGATATCTAGTATATTTAGCCATGAACGTGCCAAAATACTAAATGTGTTACATATGCTATATTGACTAAAAATAGTAGTAGAAATGTCACCTGAAAGCAGTTTCTAGGATTTTGTGCGATTTAGGAGTCCTGTGACAAAAAAAAAGGTCTTAATTGCCAGAATTTGCTGTAAAATAATCTTGAAAATGCTACAGTATTTTAGGAAATATTTATTACATTGGAAAACTTGCTGAGATTCCACATACTCATTGATCTATATCTGCACACTACTCGTCATGAATCAGACATGCAACCACTGATACAGTTAACAAACAATTCATACATCATCCCAAGTGTCCCATGAGCAGAGGCAATTCAAAGGCTGCTGTGGAATTGATGTACAACTAGAAAGGCTCATGCTTCCTGCCACTGCTAGAACACCACCAGGCTCGCAACTACAGCCATGTACCTCCTGAAGATATGGAAGCACAGGGAAATACTTTAGATTACCACACAATGGTTTCTTCATCCATTTACCTCGAAGAACATGCTACAAGGTGAGTAATGCATTTTTGAAGGCCTCTCCGCCATTACAGCATACATTCATCATTCCCAAACATGAAACGCTCTACCAATTGTTTCTGCAATGTTTCCAGCTGAAGAAACAGAAAGCTGATCCGCCTGGTTAATTTTCAGCAGTGCCATTCCTTCCTTATGCCCACATACAGGTATCTAGTTGATCTTTGATGCTAGCAGTGTCTCTCCTCTCATTTTAGGGCAGCTTTACAACATCAGGAGAGGCTGCCATCCAACCAGAAATGGAGGCGGCATTGACAAGACAGCCCTAAGCATACAGATTTAAATTAACCCCCCAAACAAGGCAATGTTTGTAAGCACAATGCTGTGGCATCCAGAATTACTAGGCAGTGCCTGAAAGCACTGCAGCAACTACTGCAGTAATATGCCCAAAGTTTACATGCAGAGCCACCTAAATTCAGGTATTTTGCTTGCAAATGCTTCATGGGTACCAGGATGCTGCTGTACTGTTTGAGGCACACTGTAACTCAGTCTACTTTACTGACTGATAACCAACGTTAGAAAGACATGGCAAAACCACCAGCTAATAATATCTACTAATTGTGGGGGACAGGCCTATCTTTAAGAAGGCTGAAGACATGACCATTCAAATAATGCTAATGTACCTGATATAGAACTGGACTGTATGAATACATAAATGACAGCAACAATCCTGTAGTCAGGATGGCATTTGAATATCTGTAATTTTAGTCAATACACCCAATTCTCTGTCCTCCATAAATCTTAGGCACATGGAATTAACACCTGGAGCACAGATGTCAGCTTAGGGTAAAAACAGACTTCGAAAGGTAACTAGTAATGTTTGGTAACATGCTAAACTGCTTCCTGAGTTTCAAGTTTGGAAAGGATTAACTGTACTTCATCATACTCATACAAAAGGCAGTACACTTTACGGTATTGTTCTTTTTCTCTTGCCTGAAACAGACACCGTCTTTAGGAAACTAACAGGAATCAGTCAGGAATGAAACTTCTTGTTTGCACAGTTTGCCAACTGGCAACCCTTGGTCTTTCCTCTATAGCTAGTATACACAAACCCCAGGTTTTGGGAATCAGAATCCCTGCCCTCCCTTCCCCAAATGCAAGAAGTAGTCCAACACTGAGAATCAGGTTCTTCTGAGATGGGAACAAATTAGAATTTTACACTACAATGCGTATCTATCTTTACCATAAAAGCAGACACATATAATAATAAGAAGAAACAGGATCTACAACTTGGGTCTCAGAAAAATCAATCCCAAGAACAAACCCAATAGAAACATCTTAATAGTTATGATTGTTGGAGTGTAAACCCATGTCCCAGCAGACCTAAAAAAATCTAAGTCTACTTTGGGACAGATACATTAAAATGTACCCCATTACAACAAAATTAACAGCAGCTTTAACAAGATAGAATCTGAATGCCTCTGTAAATCAATCTCAATTTAAAAAGTTAACACACTGAAACCCCTCACAGAGAATACAATGCATTACTTACATAACATATGTTTTGCTGGTAGCTTTAACTCCTCCAATAGGGATTCTTCTAACAATTACCGACGAGTTCTTAGGAATCAGGGCATTATCATCTGTGTATTCTGAAAACAACAAAATACAGAAAAAAACCCTGTATGTAATTACATATTAATAGATAATTAATAGTTACAAATTGACTGAGTTTTTTTAGCACTTCAGAGAAACTCTTTACAGATATAGAAGCAAAATTTTGTATGTAATGCCACGCTTTCATTGTCTTAACACACTAACAACACACTTCAAGAAATCTTCAGGTTTGATAATCAAACACAAGCAGCAAAATCTTTTTTTTTTTTTTTAAATAGTTTGAATGCCAACAGCAAAATGGTCTCAAAGGTCACTAAAGGAGTATGCTAATGCATGAGGTTCTTTCCTGATCTAGCTTATGTTGCTTTTGCTTCTGTTAGGTTACAAACCCAATAGATCTTTTGAGAAAAACAAACCACAGCAGTCTCACCTGCATAAACCAGATCTGAAGTCAGACGAGCTTGCCCTGCAACGAGATGCTTAGCTAAAGCATGAAAACTCTGTACCATTACTTTCATAGCTGTTCACTAAAACCGATTCACCCATGCCACTAGTGCTCAAGACCGACAGAACACACAAGAGAGCCTGCCACCTCTGCCTACTTCTTGGCACTTAATCCATCAACCACCACACTTCTCAGCTGCTTGAGGCTTTCAATTTAAATGGAAATGAAACTGGCAGTGCTAGAATTTGGACCACAGAAAATTGGGATTTTTTTTGAGCTTGCTTTCACAACTAGGGCAGAATTGCTCTGACTGAAGTGGTGTCTCCCCTCTTAAGCTAATCATCTAGCCCAAAGTAACCCAAGCGACATGAATTCTTTTGATTTGCTTTTTGCAGAGCAGAGAGACTCAAACAAAATTACTTATGAAGACAGCCTTTAAAAGCCTTTAGAAAACAGCGTGCTTGAACCTAAGTGTGCTTTGCCTTGGCTTACACCATGTTAGACTTCTGAAGAGCCGGAAAGCCTTCTGACCTTTTACATAAGGCCCAAACAAAAAAAATCCACTACCTGAGACACTTTGACTGAGTAAGCTTAATATGCAAACATCCCTCCATGACAGTGGTTTTTATACTGTACTTACACAAGCTAGATATGACTAAATATTTTTAAAGCACTATCAGCAGCCATTCCCTGTAATCTGCCTGCAGTTTTAAACACTAAAAGCCCTTACCTTTGCAGACCGAATCAGAACAACGGTCTGAAAACCAAAGATGCTGTCCACCTAGTCAAGCTCTGTCAGGGTGGTTTTGCCCAGTGATCACACACAAAATATGAATATTTCACAGTTTATGCTCCATTTTTCAGTATATTATTCCTACAGGCATTCCCTTAGACCAAAACATACGTACCAGAAGACATCATTTCAGCAATGAAATGAAAAATGAAAAATTACTTGTATTTCAAAATGACAGAATGCTTCTTCAGAAAACTGAGAAATCATTTAGCTGAAACTAATTCCCGATCTTCCCCCCTAGGGAACCAAACAGCAAGCTTCCTCTGGACTTCATAGTTTAAAACTGTAGGGAGGAAGGACTACTAATGACAAACCCAGAAGCTTTTACAGAAGTTACATCCTGAAACCAGCCCCTAGAGCTCTTCTCGAAAGGAAAATCTAACCAATACACAGCCACCTGTCAAGGCAGGCCTGCGCTGGGACTTGTTGATGGAGAAGGAGCTCAAAGAGTACTGAGGCCCAGACAAACAACTGGGAGGTCATGCCAGCTGCAGTTCTAGAAGCCCAACGCAGCTGCTTCTACCTGCAGAAGAGAGTCATAGAGTATCCTTTCTGGTTCAGACCACAAACCCCTGGACTGAGATTTCAGAGGTCTGGAATAAGCAACAGTGGCTCCACAAAAAGGCAGGAGTTTGCTACACCTGTGCCAAACTGAGGACTGCGGTAGTTCTGCAGAAGATTACAAATGGCAGCACCTCTCTTAAAAAAAGACGGTGTGTATGAGGACAGCAGCCCATGCATTTATTGACAAAGTATAAAAGCTTGCAGAAGTCAATTTGAACATGCACAACAGGTGTATGATGCAAAAAGGTAAGTCCTCCTAGTATTCTGTGACAATTCATTGACCATTAGAAGAGAAGCATTAACATCTGCCTTCTGAATAGCCTATCCTTGCATGTGTACACATATAGATACATGCTTATTTTCAGTCCACTTAAGTTTTACAGTGAAGAAAGCTCCAGCTTTCTTCAGCTCCAGTTCTAGTAACAGACTGATGTAAAAATGAATTCACCTTAAAAGTCAACCAGTACACATTTAAATGAACCAACTGAAGAGGGACAACAGCTTGGTGAAGTAAATGCTTTACTTGTATAGGACACTTATCATGGCACGTATTTGTATTTGGTATTTGAAGTATCCCACTAGCTTAGTCCCTGTGTCAGAGTTTGTGGAAGAGTGTTTACATAGGGCAGAGTACATAGCTGAGTTAGTTCTGTGAAGGGACTTGATACCAGTTGGCTTTACTACATTTATTTTTCCTTTGCCCCAATTAATTGCATTCATTTTGGTGATGACATTTTGTTAAAGGTGAAGTCAAGCAACATAGACTAAGAAGTAAACTTTTTGTTTTAAATATGGAAAAGCACTCCAGCTTTAGTCCTAAGTCCCTGGAAATTTTTGTCTGCTTGATTTGAATTTAACAGATACCAGCTTTAACAGCGCTCAGACTAAACTGCCATCTCCCAGCAGGAACCTGTTCCCCGCAGGCAGCAACATCGCTGAGCAGAGACTTGGCAACTACCAGGACCTGCAAAGCAGTGTCACTCTGCCTCACCACATGACTCCACATCTGCAAAGTGAACAATCACATCATGTTCAACAAGGCTACTTTTCACATTTGTCCAAGCAGAGTTCCAATAGAAATGTTCAACAAAGCTGGACGTAACCGCATTGTTGATTCCTATTCCCTTACAGCGCAAAACTTGTTTTTACTGCCAGTGGTGGTCAGTAAGTGGCTACTGGGCTTTTGTCAATCTGATCTGTGATTAAAAATAAGCATTCAATTAGCTCAGAAAGCTTGCACAAGCAAAGAAGATTTGGATGTTATACTAAAGTCAAAAGCAGAAGCAATGTAACTGTAAAACTTGCTATCTATGCTACAAGAGAGCAGCACGCTTGAAAGAATCAAAGGAAAGAAGCGTTGCAAGGAATGAATGGAGGCAGACAAGTTAAACAATAGCTACTTTGACTGCTGCCTCATACTGACTTAAATCTTAAATCAACAATTGCATTCGTGTCTACAACCTTCTTCCTGCAAGAAAGTATAAACAGCTCAGGTTATGCTCTGAAGGCTATACTGCTTTGCATTTAATGAACAATTTAAAAATTTCCGTTTTAAAATTAATAATTCTGAAAATATGCTAATTTTAATAATCTGTGTCACATGTGTGCTACCAACAAGTTACTGAAAAAAGTTCCTACTTTATGGCCTGCTTTAATCCACTATTTTGAGTCTGGCAGCATTGCAAAAGCAGTATCTGAAGAAGTGTTTTCACCCTGACGAAACACAGAAGCACATCGAAACAGAAGTGATCAGAAGGCAAGCCTATATGTGAAACTACAAAGAAGAGCCTTGATTAGGCTTAGATGCCTTGCTAACCAGCTATTATGCTACTGGGGGAAGGATTTGCAAAGTAAGAGATTAAAATGACAGCTAACATGCCAGACTGCCCCTACCAGAAAACAGGGTAACTCCCAAGAACACATTTTCTCCCTAGCGCTTGAAAATACGCTTTCTCATTATGTGATTTTTAAACTGTGTTCTAATCAACACCACTTGCACACTTTGCGACAAACAAATCATTTATGTAGCTGGCACTTGAAAGCACAGCCTCAACATGTCCTGATTAATATCCTGGACTACTATTTCTGGATTTTCACCTTCCACCAAAACAGGTGTCAAATGATCTCATCTACAATTGGTACATCATCATTTCTTGAATTAGCTAGTTCAGTAGGCCAAACAGTTCATGGAACTTTCATTTGCATCATTATCATACAGTACTATGCTCCAAAAGAGCCACCTATATTGCTTTGAAAGGATGAGTCAATGAAATCTAACATCTTCCATCATTAATCTGATCATGCAGACCACCCAATGCCTTATTGGCACTGCTAGCTGTTTCAGTGTGACTGTGGAAAAAAAAAGCAATGCTGGAGACAGTGTGGTAATGAACCAAACTGAGCCTGCCCTAAGCACCTGGCCAGGGGACATGAACCTAGCTGACAGCACAGCCCCAGGAGGTCCCAAACATGCAGACAAAGCAGCTGACTCCCAGACAGCCAGTGCACGGGCTCCACTAGAACATCATGGTTTTTGATTGTGTACCTGACTTACCCTCAACTCAACCAGGGAAACGGGGAACTCCATATCCTTCCTGAAAGCTCTGCAGAACAAAGCTGCGTGGCAGCCCAAGAATTAATTGCACTCTGAGGTGTAACCAAAGTAACCCCCCATACTAGCACTGCAACACAAAATGGCGGCGTGAAGGGCAAGGTTTAAAACTTGCTGAAATGTCTTCGCTCAAATACTAAGTTTGCGCAGTGTTGAAGACACTCCAGTACACAGACAGACATCAGCTGTGAGGCCAAATGATTTCATTCAGAGTGAGCATGAGTTTGTTTTGAAAGACATCGCATCATGGCATTACTGTCAAGTGCATGCTGCAACACTGAATTCAAGCAAGTTCGGAGTTCAAGAGACAGTCTTAGAAGAGCAATATTCTTCCTTAAAACTATTCATCTATGACCAGGTCGGAGTCATACTCTTGGGTTTGTGGGTTTTTTTTTTTTATTTTGCCAGATAAACAGGATAGAACATTCTCCAAGTGTTTTGAGTTAGAATGTTACAGGGCAGGAAAGAGAAACTCGAGTTCTGGAGTTTGCAGTTCTTCCACAATATTCTGAGACCATCTATTATAAAAGACGGGTCAAGAAATTTATATCAAATTAAAAGGAGGCAAGTTTAAATGCATCATTCTTGAGGCTTTTTGAAGGGAATTCTGCCTTCTACAGAACATGCTTCTACAGTAAGCATGGAAAACACAGTGTCCCCCCACACTTTGAAACAGGCCCCAACCATCCATTTTGCCCTCCCAGCATCTTAAAGACTCCCTGATTTTTTTCCCCACTGATATTTAAAATCCTGTTTACTTTTAGCTTACATTAACATTGCTTTTACTACTAGATTGCCTATTACTACATTATGAAAAGCAACAGTTACTGCAAGTAGGCCATCTTCACTCAGTTCACTTTGTTCTTTCCAAGACCATTTTAACAATCCGTCAGGACTCCCGCATAGACAAAGTTATTGAAAAAACAATACCTTATGTCCACATGCAAGAATTCAAAAAATCCCATTTAGGCAGAATATCCTGATCTAGGTTTTTTTCCTTTATGTTCTGAAGGTGAGCTTAAGCATCTACATCTAACTAATAAAAACTGAAATTCACAGTTACGCATATAAATAAGAAATTTGGCATACACATGTATTACACTGAAATGTATTTTCTAGCTTTGCTCTGAAAA